ATTTTTTTATACTTTTTAGTCCATTTATAAAAGCGTTGTATATTAAAAAGGTTTTCTATGTTTTTTATTTTCTACTTTTTAGTCTTGTCTGTATAAAATTTTGCAATAGATATTAAAATAATTCAACGATATTAATCAGTGTTTCCGCGAATCATTTTTAGTGGCAGCCAAATTCTTTTTAAAAAAGGGCTAAAAAAAGTCGTTGTATATACATATCTAAGTATACACGCAAACATTTTCAATAAGTAATGGTATAATAAAACAATGTACTCTGGAAAATAGCTAATATTTTATCCAACCAAAAACCTTTTGGTGTACATTGAGAAACGAGTTTAGTTACGTCAACTAAATATGTTTTCTTCAACACATGATTTAGTTATAATTACGTTATTTGGTTATAGTTGCCAAATGATGTGTTGAGAGAAGTTTATTTAGCTGACTTTTTCTGAGGGCAAATATAGATACGAAACCAGCTTGCTGGCTCCATCAAATGATTGTACCATCAGCCTCGAAGCTTATAACTAAATTAGCTAATTTCACCATTCACGACACAAGCATGCTGGTGCAATCATAAAATTTTCAAATAGTTTTTGAAGTCGCACACACCACAAGAACATACATGGTCAATCGACTTAGTGGGCCATTTCACAAATTAACCATATTAAGGGCCGTTAACTTGTACGTTTTAAACTATAGTTAAATCGTTAATAGATAAATTAACGGCCCTAACACTTTTATAGTATGTATGTATAAAAACGTAAAGAACATACAATACATATATGTATATATATGTGTATATCAGTATTTTTTAGTTTAAAAATTCATTTCTTACTTAATGAAAAAATTTAGATTAAATTAAGCATATACAACTTTTTCATGCCAAGGATGAATAAATTCTCCAAAGGGCTAAAAGAAGGGCTAGGGGCAATTTTAAATTTATGTGGCAAAACAAAGTGTGTGGTAGCTAAATCTAGCCCCCAAAGGGCTAAAACGGCAACATTGATATTAATACATTGGTGACACAGTTGCATATCGTCGTTTAAAGTGCAAAACCGCGTATCAACAAAATGCAAAACCGCGTATCAGCAAAATGCAAAACCACGTATGTGAACTTGTAGAAATTATTTTCTAGAGCGTAAAAACGCTCATATTTCAAAATGGTTCTCTTTTTTATAAAGCAATCGCATTCCTGGCTAGTATATTACAGGACGAATGGATAAGGATTGAGCCAAGAGCTTGTGTGAGCAAATCCAATTTTTGGCAGCCAATGTCAGTTACGCGGTTTTGCAGAATGACGATACGCGGTTTTGTACTTTAAACGACGATATACATATGTATGTACATTAGACTGCATCACCAAAAAAGTTGTGGCTGTTTTTCCGCCGGGATTACAAAATTTATTATACTTTAAGACGTCTGACAAAATATTTCGGAAAAATATTAAGATTTAAGCGAGCTGGACCAATTTGAAAACACCTCCAAAAATGGAGTTTTTTATGAATAAAAATAGTTTCTTAAAGAACTTTTTGATAAAAGTCCCCTCAGATGACAAAACAGATTAGCCTTAAAAAATCCGCATAAAAATATTTAAAAATCTTTTCAACGGAATCGAAATAATGAGATTTTAAATGCCATTTTTTTTACTTTCTTCAAAGATTGATTTAGGAAAAACTTAAATAACTGAGCCAAAACTATTCTGATTTAGACTTATGGGATCTCGGTAGAAAGGTATTTTCCCACTATTTTTATTTATGTGCAAAAAAAGTCATTCGTGTCCCAATTTTTTTTCAAATACCAACACATCTTAATTCAGCTTTGAGGGATGTTCGTTCATCCTACCTTTCTCTTTCATCCTTTGAATGAGCTTATTAGTAAAGAAGTAAAAAGGGTGAGAAAATACCTTTCCAATGATACCTCACAAGTCTAAATCGGAAGAGTTTAGGTTGAGTTATTAAAGTTTTTCTTATACCAATCTTCGAATAGGGATGCGTATCGCCAATGAAAATTCGGTATATCGGTATCGCGATATTCTAAATTCACAATATCCGATACCGATATATCTACTAAAATAATATCGATATATAGAATATCAGAAATATCGAAAACGAAATGGCTAATAAAGATAGTTTTTGCGCACCACGTATATTTGTAATTAAAAGGCGAATAAGCATAAATTCAAATAACGAAGTTACTTTGGATAAGATGCACTTTAATTGGGGTATTCACAACGGTGTCGTAAGTGTCGTATTGTTGTATGTCGCAAATTTTAAACGCCTAAAAAATATATTAAGGGGGTTCGCAAAGTACCATCCAAGTCATATTATTAATTGTTGTAGTGTTAAAAAATAGTTGGTTGTCGTTTCAAGTTCTCTAAACATTTATTTAAGCTTTTAAAGTTTACGACATACAAAAATTCTACACTTACGACACCATTGTGAATGCCTCAAATGAGTTCGAAAAAATAGTAACCAGAGTTCTGCAACTTTGATTTACCCCTCCTCACAAGCATGTCTAGTACTTTCAAAGAGACATACCTCTACATACGTACATAACTATGTATTTCTAAATGTGAAGTCAGTGTTGCCGCCGCTCAAAGATCTTTCTAACCAAGATTACACGAAAAAGTTACCAAATGTAAGGAAAAATAACCAATTTTTTTTTTATTAGATTAACAATTCAGGTCATCACAAATTATTTTATAATCAATCAAAAAATCAATTTTTAATTGTAAAAAAAGAAATAATAAAAAATAGCAGTCAGACATTTTTTAATATACACATGGGTATTTGCATTTTTGAAAAGTAAATCCTTTTAAGGCTGAATAAATGAAATACATTCATATATATATATATATATGTAAATGCATATTTTAGGAAATCAGTCTTCCCGTATTAGGTACATATGTATATATGTTAATATCTTCGTAAACATTACCATTAAATGATGTTTTTAAATAAGTACATAGGTACACAGTTTCCTACTTCAATGAAATACTTAATACCTAAGCGCGAACAACCACATTGTATATATTTTAAGATTAAGATTAAAAAATTAAAAATTGGACTGTATTGAACTATATCGTCGCTCAGCGCGAAATACCTCGTATACCCCAAACGCAGTACCGCGTATACGATGGTAAGTAAATTTTACAAAAGCGCAAAAAACCGATTTTTTCAAAACTGTGGAATGGTTTTTCCGCTGAACCTACTTGCTATAAAATTATTATTATTAATCTTAACTTAAATTTATAAAGTAAGCTGTAATGGAAAAAGAATAACCAAATCTCTTTTATTGTACATACATGACGTGGTATTGGATTTCACATATACGAGGTATTTATATATGTACTATCTAAGTATGTATTCATTTGAAGTAGTCTTTAGCCGACCATACGAAGTGAAGTTTCCCTTGAGAGATGGGTGATCTTTAGACAGCATTATACTGTTTATTGTTTTCGAACACAATTTGTTTCTAAGTTTAGTTTTAATTAAAGCTAAATTTGAGAATTGCCGTTCAGCAGCTGCTGAACTGTGAGGCAGTATAAGCAAATTTTTTACAAAACCACTAACTTCCTCGAAGCAGTAATTTCCCATGCCGTTCTTAATACATGACAATTTTGTCCAAAAGTCTGTTATGTCCATATCTTTTTGTAAGCAAATGTTGGAAAACCTTAACAGCTTCCACTGACTGATAACGTCTTCAACATCGCATTCAACTAAACTTGAAAAACGATTTACCAAGGGCTCTATTTCTATATCTGATTCTGATAAAACTTTACATGGTGTTATAATAGAAAGGTTTTTTAAATCTATCCTGGAAAAGTCAAACCGTTTTTGGATTTGATTTAAAAGTTCTAAATAAAATTTTAAAATATTTTTTTTAATTTCTGTTTTCTGTATATCCGACATTGCACTTTGTTTCAAATAAAGTTCTGCTTTACAACCAATAAAACATTTTCTAAAGGTAAATAATTACTTTCATTGGTTATATTCATGTTTTCCAATGAGGGTAAATTTTTGACGTACTCATGCTTCAAAAAATTGCTTGCAATGAGCTTTACATTCATTTCCAAATGCGTGTACAAATACGGTAAGCGAACCGTTTCTGACTGAAACTCTTTGTTAAGGTCATTAATAATTTTTAATATATATGACAAAAACAGAAAATATGCTTTCACGTCCAATTCACTCATTTTTTTTGCCAATACGGGAGCTTTAATTCCATTAACTTCTAAAACTCGGTCTAAGAAATATAAATATAGTGGGTTCCATTGTTCAACTATCCTATTGATAACTTGTTCTAAATCAAGCCATCTTGTTAAGGAAGCGCCTAATATTTTATGTGGTTGTACCATACAATACTCCTGAAACTCCTTTAGCTCTTCAACACGTTTTGGGCTTTGGGAAAAAAAACTAAAAATGTTGCGACAGAGCTCTTCAATTTTGTGAGGAAGCTGTTTACTTGCATACGCCGAACATAGGTGTAACGAATGGCAGGTACATTTAATATAAAAAAGATCAGTATCGGGCTTAAGCTTTGCCCTTAAACCATTAAGTTGTCCCGCCATTACGTTGGCACCATCGGTGGCTAAACCGATTATGTTTTTTAATGGAATACCCTGTTCACAAAAAAACTGTTTGATTGCATCATAAATGGAACTTGCATCACAATTTCTTAATTCAATTAAGCTTAAAAACGAATCATGTACCCTTTGTGTTAGTTTGTCAAAATATCTTACAACTAAGACTAAACATTTCTTTGTAGAAAAATCAGTTGTCTCATCCACAATGAGGGAAAATTTTGACGATTTTAATTTACATACGATTTTATCTTTGGCTTTGTTGCCCAAAATGTCAGCAATTTCGGTTGACTTCGTTCTGCCACATTGAATAGCCGCAGCAATTTTAAAGTCAGGGCAACACTCCTTTAGAAGAGCTGGTAAAAAATCCATAAGAAGGAATGGTAAGTTATGGCAAATAAGGAACATGACAAGTGTTAGCTCAGCGTATTTTATTTACTTGTCTAGATAGCGCTATTTCTTCGCTACTCAAAAACTTTTGGATTTGTATTTGTTTTTTCTTTTTTTCCACGTTTTGCAAATGTACGGCCAAGGAACCATGTTTCTTTAAATAAGTGACATGATTCGACAACTTTTTGTCGCAAGCCATACAATGGCTTGCCCCATTGACATTTTGCAACCAAGGAAATTGGTCTAGCCATGCATGGCAAAATTTTCTTGCTGCGACTTTTTTCTTACTACGTTGCTGTCTGTATATTATAAAACAAATACAATAAGTAATATTAATACATTCATTTCAAATAATCTTACTTGGTTTCACTGCTGGGGCTGCCACTGCTGCTGCTACTCTCCACAACCTCAACAGGTGTAGCTGGCCTATGTCTTATCACGAACCTAATTTAAAAGATTTTTAGAAATACATATTATACAAAATAAAACCAAAATTGTGTATTTTCTGCTCACTTATCCATAGCAATGAGCCCGTATAAATTTACTTGAAACACCAATTTTGCGCGGAATTCTAATAACTTTTCGCGGCTTTTAAATGATTCTCTTATTATTCAAATGTCATTTCACGTACATATGTGTGTGCAAAGAACATAGAGATGGTGCAACTGCCGGGCCGTTTCAAAAACTTGGCGATTAAATCGCCACGATTTATTAAAGACACGAACCGATAGTTGCACCCTCGAACTTTTACATGTTCTTTTGCATATGTAAACACATGGTTATTATCGAAATAAGTCGAATCTTGAGTTGCCATTTTAGTAGTAATACCTTTATTTAAATAACCATATTCAGCAGAATAAATGTATTTGTTTATACTATTTCTCAAAGATTTAAGTATTTTACGTATACAAAAATTAAAAACTACAGTAAATATTAAAAAATAACCAAATTGGGAAAGATCTTAACAACTTCACAGGCAAGAAAAAAATAACCAAAATTGGTTAAAAGTACCAAAACGGCAACACTGTGTGAAGTACAAATAGCACCATTCAATGGGGTTTCCAGATGACCTCAAAGAACTGAATTTTTAAGTTTTTGTTCGGTATACAAAATTTCATGATCAATTGAATCTGCTAAAGCCTAAAATGCCATACAGCAGCTCTGGTTTGTCTTGGTTAGCTAATACTATTTTTATGCAAGAAGTATTTTGCCTTTGCTGTAGATTTTCTTAAAGAAATAAATTTACGAGCACGTTTTCCAACTATGTACTCAATTTTATTTTCAGTTCAGGAGCCTAGAGAACTTGGAGAAAATTTTCCGATACATCAAATATCGAAACAAAATATTGTATCGATATCGTATCGCAACACCTGATATCGATATAAATTAACCGATATGTTGAACAACGATATTGCTGTATTGAATATCGTATCGATATCGCGCATCCCTATCTTTGAAAGAGGTTAAAAAAAAGCATCAAAAATCTTATTATTACGATTCCGTTTAAAATTTTTTTTATTTATTTTTTTAATATTTTTATGTAAATTTTTTAAGCTTAAACCGTTTTGTCATTTGAGGGGATTTTTTCAAAAAACATCAAATCGGTCCAGCTCGCTTAAATCTTAATATTTTTCCGAAATGTTTTGGTGGACGTCTTAAAATATAATAGGTTTTTTAATTGCAATGGAAAAAAGTACCGACTTCTTTTTTGTATGGGGAGTGATGTAGTCTAATGTACATACATACGAGCACCAACGAATTTCATTTAGAGCAATGCCCCAGTAGCGAAAATGGTCACCGGTGACATCGTCAATAATGAGGATTTAGTGACATCGTCGCACTTGCTGTGAATCCTAAACGACATATAGCTGACAATGACACTGGTGACAATGTCATGCAGGTGTACTCCTATCAAAGACTTATAACGGACAATGTTTTGCAGCGGTCACTTATAAAAAGTTCATTGCAGGACATTGTCGCTTGAATGTTATCAATGATCACTGCATGGCAAAGTCATGCAGATGACATCAACGACGAAATTACCATTTATACGAAAAAGTCATAAACGACTTCCATACACACGGAGCCCAAAGTCATTTAAGACGTAACTTTTCCGTACAAGACTCTTAAGTGACTAATGCATGACATTCGCTACGGGGGCTGGGCACACCAACACAGTCTCATTTTGTCGTGGAAATGGTGCGTCCTGCTCAGTTATGGTTGCCACGTTTTTATAAATGTACTAAAACTGGTATTTTTCGTGCATGTGTCTTTTGCCCTTTTTTGCTTATACGTATAGTGAAATAATGAATTGTGAAAGTTTTTAGTAACTAATACTATTAGTTTATAGAAACTTTTCCATAAGAAAAATTTAATATTTGTAAAATTGTAAAAGATTTAAATAGGTTTAACTCATTTGTTTAATACCTGGACACAATTTTATTGAAATCTAATCTTTGAAATGCTGGCCGGCCAGATAATTTCGGTGTTTAGATTTTATTATTTTCATATAAATAGGAATTTAGTGCTAAAAATAGAATATAACTTATAAATATTATTCATTAAGTATTTTTGCGTATAAACCAGCATTTAAATTTCTATATCGATTTCTTTAAATAGGAATAAATTATTCTAAAATATGGCATGCAATTTGTGCACGTTTTTATAAAAATCATGGAACTTATTACAAAATTATTGAACGTTGGTCAGCAAGCAGCTCATTTTATATTTCTTTTAAATGGACAAGGCATGAAAAATACAGTTTGGTTATATTAAAAATACGTAGGCATAACCGCATAGCGGATATTGCGGCTTGTTCAAAGTTCTTTGAACAATAAACTCTAGTTCTTATATAGGGCCGCACTATTTTGTGTTTGAACCGTCGCAAATGCATGCAAACATCAATCTAAGAAAAACACACCACTTTTTGCTTTGGGGATTTTTTGTAAATTTTCTACACAAAATACGGCAAACGCGTGCTAAAATTACGAAGAAAAACAATTCACAGCCGAGCATGACGTTACCTTGGTGAAATCTGCAAGCAGACTGAATTCGCTGCTTTGCTTCTGTGTACCAGTGATCGGACGTCAAAAATTCTGGGTGGTAGAATCTGGGAAAAAATGTGGTAGATTTCAGGTTTTGGATCAAACTTTGAACAAAAATTAAAAAAGTCTGCTGCAAAAAGTGCTGCAACCTTTTATTACATCAGGATGTAGCGAACAAATATGGCACGTTGCAGAAACCGCTACTTGGGACTTGCTGATTTTGACATTTCTCAATTAAAAGTAAACAACTCCTCAGAAACTTTAGATGCACTGAAAGTTGCTAATACTTTCATCGCCGTTTTTTAACACTTTTGCCATTACTTCTTTTTATAAATCATATATTTTGCAATTTAACGTAATAAAACCACGTTTCCTGTCGAAAAATTTATTATTGAGAATATTTACTATTTTACAATTTATTTTATCCTCCCATTCGGCTTTGTTTACTTTTACTTGAGAAAATTCATCGCCGTCGCGAATGCGGAATCTTGTATTATATCATTCTTGTTACCATGTAGTGTTTAGTGTTGGACAATTTTTGCTCTTAAAATTAAGAAAATTATGTCGAGCAAAAATAAAACTAGTTCTCAAAAACGCGAATATGTGGTAAATTTCAGACCTTGTGTGGTAGATGCTCAAAAAAGTGGCAGATCTACCATAATGTGGTAGAACCGATTACTGCTGTGTACGTATACGAACTGCGACGCTGGCGTTGCTCTCGAGTAAAAATTGCCCACCTCTGAACAGAAGTGGCGTGTCGTCCAATTCCGCTGTAGCGTACGTAGTGCATTGGGCGACATCTACCCATAGTTGCCAAAGTGGTGCTTTAAGCCTAGATTTAGTGCTTTTTGAAAATTAAAACGCCAAAAAAAAATATTTAGTGCCTAGTGCCTTTTTTAGTGCTTTTTTCTGAACTAAAATTACTTCGAGATAGTTAAAACTTGAAATAATTTGAAATATTTAAAGCTGTGGCAGCACTGAATTTATAAGAATATACAAATTTAAATGGACTAAAAATGAAGTTGCAAACCCACCTTTATAAACGTGACTATGCATAGTCTTATTATGAGGCAATATAAAAGATAACAATAAGCGAATAATGTTCTTTGCTGCTTTTTTGCTTCCTTACTTATTTTACGTACACTTGCTTATAAGACAGTCGTTATTCGTCGCGTATAACCATGCTACCGCCGTTCAATAATTTACACACGTATAAATATGAATTACCACCTTCGCACAAATCCGTTAGCTGACTCAATTTAAAAAGACAAGTAAAATCTAAAAAACAATTGATTCAAAAATCGAAAAATCAAAGATGCTATACATGCAGAGCCCAGTTTAAGTACTGATATCTTCTAAACGAAAAATACACACACCTTAAAATTTGCATATGTTATTTAATTAGACTGGAAGAATATTTTTAATATTTTTAAATTTTTTTGTTGCTCCAGAACGATGTTTTGCAACCACTTTCTTAGTATAAATATTAGTAAAAAGCAACAAAAATAAAATTTGCATTAAAAAAGATATGTCAATAGAAACTGTGACCTAAAAGGAATAAAGTGAAAATTTCATCCAATTCGGTTAAATAGTTTATGAGATATTTTGAGTCGAGGAAAAAATGCTATAAAAATTGTTTATGCAATAACTTGCGAAATATATATTTTTTCGAAGTTTTGCTGATGGGTATCCCTTTCCATGCTCCTGAGATACAAATACACCATATTAAAATTAAAAATCAAAAAACTTTAATTTTTACTGATCGATTTCACGAATTCTGGCTCAAATATGTTTCAGAATAGAGCAAATGTATTTCAGAAAAGCTTAAATGTATTTCAGAAAAGGCCAAATGTATTTCAGAAAAAGCCAAATGAAATTCAGAAAAACACTATTGTATTTCAGGAAATGAAATTATTATCAGAAAAACGCAAATGTATTTCAGAAAAGGGCAAATGTTTCTCAGAAAAGCACAAATGTATTTCAGAAAAATATTTTTAGAATACAGTTATGCTTTTCTGAAATACATTTGTGCTTTACTGAAATACATTTGCCCGTTTCTGTAATACATTTGCGGTTTTATGAAAATCATTTGATTTTTTCTGAAATAATATTGTGTTTCTGAATTTCATTTGGCTTTTTCTGAAATATATTTGAACTTTTCTGATATACATTTGTCCTTTTCTGAAATACATTTGAGGTTTTCTGAAATACATTTGTGTTTTTCTGAAATACTGTTGGAAAAGGTGTAGTTAAGGCAGAGAACGTATATGAATAAGAAGGCGCATTTTAAGTGTGAACTAATTGCTGCCAGAAATTTTGAGTTGTGGTCGAAGTAATATACCACTCGTCGACGAAATGCACCACTCGTCGACGGAATGTCGGCTGCTACCATACCAAAAATTTTTCTGTGCTACCACACTTCGACGAAATTTACCATAGTTCAAACCAAAATGAAAAAATAAGTTGTGTTTTCGTATTCCCCAGCAAAAAATATCCAGTAACTTGCCAGTAACAAAATTTCGGACAGTAAGCCAATATTTACTCCCAATGAGTGAAATATGCAAGAAAGTACGAAAACGCAAAGCCAGCAAGAAGTTGCTAGTATTATGAACAGCTGATAAATTTTTTATTTTCCGATGCAATTTTCTTAGAAAACTAGTATTTTCCATCTTAATAAATATTTAAATAGGGTTATTTTGTCAATTGCAACTGTAAAAGCACCACAAACAATTATTTTCTTAATGTGATTTACAATAAGCATCATGCCATCAGCTGTTTTTCGTACTAGCAAATAGTTGCTAGTAAAAATTTATCCAGTAAAAATCCAGTAAAACTTGCAAGTTCAGCTGTCATTTTTGCTCCCTCAATTTCCCCTCTTTTGCTAGTTTCTTGCAAGTTTTTGCGTACGAAAACGACATCCAGTAAAAGACCAGTAAAATTAGTACTGGATTTACTGGATAGTGCGTACGCGAACAGGGCTATAACAAGGAAAAAGGAAAGAGGAACAGAAATATAATAAACACCAAGCAGAGGGGATGCTTGCGTAGGCAGGCGTGTAGTATAGTTTAAAGGAAAATGAAAAATAAAAACGAATAAGAAAAGAGAAACAAAAATCTAATAAGTACTAGGCAGAGGGGGTGCTTGCGGAGGCAGGCGCGTGCTTGTGTCGGATCAAAACAAACTCTAAAATAAAAAATTGGAAGTCAGAACGACAAGTGTACAGAAAGAAGCGGGAAGCTGGGAAAGGAGCGGGCTTTTGTACATTTGCTTGCTTGCCAAAAATGTGATATGTATGAATTTTTCTATTTCAGCTAAACATGTATGCATTTTTCTATTTCAGCTAAGTTGATAAAATTTTCTGATGGAATATTTTCGACAATCCATACGTACATACACATATCTATCCACATACATATATATACGTATATATCTATATATTGTAGCATTTCATGAAATTTCATCTATATGCATGCACAATAGGCTCTTTATAAGTTTCGTGATAATTAAGCTCATGCTCATTTAATGTTCGACTTGCGAAACAAATAGGATGACCTTGTTGGCTTAAAGCGCGGTTATCCACGGACGTAAAAACGGAGAACGTGTCAGCTGACACGATCTATCTTATGAGAACGCCATGTAAATGAAAACTCACGAACGTAGAATTTTTCTGTAGACGTAGACGTAGACGTAGAAATCCGCGCGAAGTTGATTTTTTCCGTAGAAACGTGTCAGCTGATTTCTCTCTCTCTCCTACTCTTTGCTCAGAGTTGCCAGTACACAATGTTTGAAATTGTTTTGAATGAAGTTGAGAAATATTTAAGTTATCCTTAATATAATGACAAATTTCTATTGAAAATAGTATTTTATTAAATGTTATGCTTTCTAAGTGTTTGTAATATAACTCTATATCGTTTAAATTATCAAAAATATTTACTTAAATGATAAATGTTAGCGAAAGCTTGCGAACATATGTATCACTGGTAACTCTGCGTAAATGTATATAAAGAACACAATAAAGAAGAAAGAAACAAACAAGTTGCAACCAAAATTTATATAAATTGTAATGGACGACGAAAAGCTAGTTCTTTTCGTACAAAATAATAACGAGTTGTACGATAAAAGCAACCCCTGCTATAAATTAGCCGGCAGGAAGCAAATCGCCAGGGAGCTCAATTCAACAGGTAAGTGGAAATTTAAGTAAAATATGTAAAACTATAACATACTTGTATATTAACATCTTTGCAGCCGAGATGTGCATGCGCAGATGGGCAGCGCTTCGTGACCGATATGGACGTGAAGTGCGAAAGGAATCAGCGCCATCAGGCAGTAGCTCGCAGTACCACAGGCCATGGTATTTGCTAGAGGCACTTCGATTTCTGAAGCCGCACGTTGTTCCTCGCCCGTAAGTTTCACAAAAGAGTATGTATATATATATATATGTATGTTTGTACAAATGCACATACATATGTATGTATAAAAGTATATGTAAATATGTGCATATATACATGCAGTTAATATTTATAATTATTTCCAGATTTCGGTGTTCGAGAAATATTTGTCCAGCATCTTCGCCATCAACGGGGATTACTGGGAGTCCGCCACAGCTATTGCCATCGCCACCAGTCCGAGTGCAACTACCATCGCCGTCGCCTCCGACAACAGTTTCGCTGCCCTCACCATCGCCACAAATTCAAGTGCAACTACCATCGCCGCCATCTTCATCACCAGTATTATTGCAATCGAACCGCTCAAGGGGTACGAGGCGTCGTGGTAGCAATATTGATGTTGATAAGAGCATGTACGAGGCCATTGAGTTATTCAAAACAAGGTGTGCAGCTAGAGAAGAGCACTCAAATCCAGCTTTGAATTCTTTTGGAATGATGATGATATCAATAATATCAAAGATGACTGCAGCGATACAGTCGCGGGCCATGCAACGCATGATGGAGGTGGCATTTGAGGTACAGCAGGAGCCTGACTAATAGCACTGGTCGACGGCCAAAATTTACCAGAGACGCCGTTATGAAATTCGTATGTAAAATCACCCCCTGATTCCGAAAATCAAGGTTATTTTTAATTTTATGGTACCGTTTTTGAGATATTTGCAATTTACCGTTTTTGCAAAAAAAAAAAAATTGGGTCCACTTAATCATATATATCTCAAGAACGAATTAAGCAATTCCAAAACGGTTTGAAGCTTTTAAAAGGTAATAAAATTTTCTATAAGCTGTGCATACAACACTTTTTGCTAGGCCCTGTAGATTCAAAGATAACGAGCAATCATTACCGATTTTTTCAATTTTTTTTGTAAAAATATAAAAAAAATTGTACTTTGCGGGGAAGGATCTCGAAAACCTTTTATTTTTTTGCAGATTTTTTTTTCTCCCTAAGCTCTGTTGTATTACAAAAAAAATAAGCTATCATCGAAGAAAATCGATGCAAAACTACGTAAGTTATAAGCGATCAAATAAAAATACCCAGGTTGCGCAATTTCAACGTATACCTCAAAACGTATGTATGGTATAAAGAAGAGTGAAATATCTAGCTATGCTCTGTTTCTATTGAGTTAAAAGTTCAATTTATAAATGAAATTACCCATATTTTTAACTTTTTTTTTAAATTTATTTATGTTTATACTATATTCTAACAATCTTTATCTTAATTTGATTTTACTATGTTGTCGAAATAATTATGTGTTCTACTTTGACGCTTATTCAGTTTAGGATCGGTTTCTCTTATGAGAAACCAGCAGTAATCACCCATCATTGCGACGTCCCAGAATCCTTGATATCGATTCTCAATTAATTTCATTTGCTGATGAAACCTTTCGCCATGTTCATCACTTTCGTCGCCAAGATTTGCCGGAAAAAAGCTCAAATGTGAGTGGAGAAAGTGAATTTTTAAAGACATATTTACGCCCATTTTCGCATAATTATTGATTAGGTCGTTCACTATCTGCTCGTAGTTAGGGCTTTTGTGTCTACCGAGAAAAGAAGCAACGACCTTTTCAAAGGATTCCCACGCTGCAGCCTCAACTGATGAGAGTAGTCCTTTGAATTGATTATTGTTGATCAACTTTCTTATTTGTGGTCCAACAAAAATACCTTCCTTTATCATGGCTTGAGAAATATCTGGAAAAACTGTTTTCAAATAGTCGAATGCTTCGCCTTCTTTGTCCAAAGCCTTAACAAAGTTTTTAATGAGACCGAGCTTGATGTGTAAGGGTGGAAGTATGATTTTCTCTTTATTGACAAGAGTATTTGATGTTATCCACACCAACGGTAAACTCGACTCTTTCCGACCAATCCTTTCTGACGTAGTGGTCCTTAGAGCTCGGCTATCCCACTTGCAGAGGAAGCAGCAGTGCTTGGTGTAGCCACTTTGTAGACCGCATAGCATTGCAACGACTTTGAGATCAGAACATATTTTCCAATCATGCTCTTCATATTTGATAAATTTGAGTATTTTTTGCATTTCCTCGTAGGTTTCCTTTGTATTTACTGCATGTGCAATTGGGATAGAAGGCTTTTTGTTACCAATATGCAATAATACAGCCTTCAAACTCAGTTTATTGCCGTCTATGAACAATCGCCACTCTTTTGAATCATATGTTTGACCAAACTCTTTGAATAAACCAGGGATGTCGTTGCAGTAGCATATACTGTCTTTCTTAGTATAGTGTTTGGAAAATGGTTCGTGACGAGTTCTACTATATGTCACCTTAACATCGGATGACACAAATTTAAATTGTTGCATACGAGAAGTGTGGATCTCGGCCTTTTCCTTGGATAGTTCCAAATCTCTTACCCAATCATTAAGTTGTGCTTGTGACAGAACGTTTCTTTCATTTTCCATGCGAAATTCAGTACAACTTGATCCCCCGCACTCAGATGTTACTGTTGACAATGGAACTGGATCCGCAACTGCCGTTGAATGTAGTACTGGTAATGTCACTGTACACGGTGGGCAGGAAGCGAAGATAGGTTGCATAAAAATGTCGACAAAATCTGAAAGCAGGGTTGTATTTGTTGATATCTTAAGGTTAAGAATCCGCTTAAATTGAAATCCTAGCTGCTCCTGTTTTAAAGATATCCACATTTTATATACTTCTGATAGGATATATTTGCAAAAGAGGAAGGCGTACTTCTCGATAATTAGAGCATATTTATACGAAAAGAAATCTCATACAAATCTGTTCCCCTTTTTTAACTCACTAAAACGGATCAAATCAATGTGAAACATTTTCATTTTTTCCTACCGAAAGAATAATTGATCGAGATTTATTGGGCGCTACCGGTATACAACTTAGATAAAACACCACAATTACCTTTTTCTGTAGCGTGAACTTTCTCATTACAGACACTTTCAATATCGCAATATATTTATGTATGTATACAATATTGTATGCTATATAATACGGTAGTCATTTTTTATTAAAGGTTTGTTGCTATAAGCAAGTAGCGCAGGCAAGTCGCACTGCGCTTGTGCAAGAAATAAAAATGCTCTAACTTAGGCCAACGGTACTCCTCATAATAAGTAAATAAATTCAAAGCTTGTATGAGATTTATTTTGGTATTTATGTACTCTTCTGTCAGGAAATAATTACTATTGTACATCCAGAACACAAATGCGATCATTAAGAAAATCGCATGAAAGTATGCGCTTTGTGTGTAGGGCTGCCAGACGTCCCGGTTTTCCCGGACATGTCCCGGTTTTAGACTATTTGTCCCGGTGTCCCGGTCCAACCTTAAAATGTCCCGGGTTTCATTTAAGTGTCCCGGTTTTCGATTTGATTGCATAAATTTTGCTTAAAAATGACTACGCTGAGAGAAAAAACGCGTTGTAATATTAAGAAAAATTTTATGAATTTACTGGAGAAAATAACGCATAGTAAAAACATATTTTTTATTTGATTATCGTTTTGAAATGTTCGTACTTAAAAACAATACTTTCATACCACGCACACGTGGTGTTGAATCAAACTGAACATTTGAATGCACATTTACATGTCTGGCTGTAGCTGAGTGCACGAAGATGCTTGCCACAATTTGATAATTTCCAGAGCGTCAGGGTTCAAATCCCATTACAGACAGCATGGAATTTAAATAAATTTTTCTTTTAACTTAATTATGAAAAAGCATCCGTTAAGTGCAAAGCGCTTCATTTTAATATTGGCGTATTTCAATTGAATATTTCTATACTAAATACTAAAATTTGTATACTTAAATTATTACGAGTTGGGTTGGTGCTCTTTCATATGCGATTTTTTTTTAAATGTAGCACGTTTTGCATAAGCAATAGTTGATGATTAATATAACTATGTACCTAAATACGTTAAAATGACATGCACAGAGTTTTACAATTATAGCAAAAGCCAGAAGTTTTGAAACAAGCTCACAGCAACGAAACAAATGACTGATATTTTAATATTACCTTGTATTTATTGTTTTTTTTTTCGTGAAACCTAGATTACTTATAAGTACCGTGCCGTACAAAATTATTGGCTCAGAGACACTTTCATCTGATCACAATTTCTAATCAGATCTTTTAGAAAAATGTTTAAAATGTAGCTTTTGAGCCAATTAGTAAAGTGCAAGTCTGAAGTTACCAGAAAATTTCGTTGATTTTTTGCAATTATTTATTCTTTGCTGACAGTGTCTTCCACATACAAAAAAATGTCGAACATACCAAATATATTGCCTCGTTCAAAGCCATGAGCAAAATCGTGAATACATGGTTTTCCGCAAAACAAGCGGATCTTAGTAATTTTGATAAAAATCTTAACGAACTCCGCACAGCTTTGAAAAGTACTGGAATTTCTCAAACTGTCAAAATCCATTTTATCCTTAAACATTTAAAGCAATCTATTTCATTCTTGAATAACGATGGTTTAGGATTATGGTCCGAGCAGGCCGGGAAGTCAGTTCATAGGGAATTCATTAAATTCTTGGATAGATTCAAAATAAATATGATTGATAAACCAACTTTTGTGAGTCGCCTGAAGAAAACTGTAATGACATTTTCATTCCAGCATATATAAAAACTTAACTAAATAATAAAAAATTTAAATACTAAAATGTGTGACTATATTATATGGTAAGCCAACAAAAAAATAAAAGGAAACAAAAAACAAATATAAAAAAATAAAGCAAGAAAAATATATAAAAAAATAAAACCAAAAAAAGAACAAAGAGGTGCAAAGTAAGTTGCCTCTACGTGGTGCGCCTTGGAAACGATTGAAACCGGCTAAAAACTTACATAAACTTATATTTTCACATAATATATATACAGACATTTACTCACACATACATTGTTGAATATTTAATGCACAAGGATGTTTTTCTCTTTCGCAAAAGTCGGTCCTATCATAACTATGTAAAATGTTGATATCTTTAAAACAGGAGCAGCTAGGATTTCAATTCAAAGGGATTCTTAACCTAAAAATATTTTTTTTTTTTTTTTTTTTTTTTTTTTTTGTCGACATTTTTATGCAACCTATCTTTGCTTCCTGCCCACCGTGTGTAGGTACGCTAGCATAGGTTACTCCTCTTGATCTTCCAACGCCAAGTACTTTTGTTTGACAAATATAACACTCTATTGAATGGCAAGTAGGTTCTCTCCATATCATTGGTGTATCAAATTTTGTTTGTTGTCCTGATTCCCACTGAATCAATTCTACTCGACACGATGTACACAAAGTGTTCGGTGTCCATGGTTTTTCAGCATTTTTAGGCTCAATTCCAAAATACTTGGAGTATAAAGTTTTGATATGATCTGAGAACACTCGTCGTCGCCTTATGATAGTATATTGGCCACACATGAAACAGAACATATCTGGATCCTTATTACACTCAAATTCTCGCGTCCTTTTACTCATTTTATTTTTTTTAATAAATCACGGTTTTGAAATTAGACTTATGAACTGAACTATCTCCGGCGAGCCTTGAAGATGTTATGAAGTTTCAAAGCGCATTAACTCATA